TTAATTTTTATTATTTAAAATTTATTTATGCATATTTTTAATTGTATAATAAAATATGTTAAATTAATTTTATTATATAATTTCTATACAATAAAATGTAAAATCTTTATTATGAAAAAAAAAATATAATATATATTTTTTTCTTTATTAGAAAATTAAAAATAGAAAAATTTTTATAAAGATAAAAATAAATTCATTCATAACATTTTTTTTTATTATTATTAATATTAAGTTATTATATAATTTTGTTTTAATTAAATCAATATATGAAATAGATATTGTAAAACAATAAACACTTCAAAATTTTGTATTATTAGAAATATAGTTAGTACCAAAATATATTCAATTTTCTTTCTATAAAATTATCAAGAATAATTATATATGACTGACAAATGATTGGAAATAAGCAATAATAATAAATTTTTAAATTTGTTAATTGGAAAAATTGTGTGATATTTGATTATCTAAGTTATATGTACAAGAAGATTAATAAAGTAATTAAGAATAAATAGGCTTAGAAATTAAATTTTAAATATTTAATAGGGATTAAATAAATATGAAAATAACATAGTATTTATATTAATAATTATTTTTTTAAAAAATTTTCAATACATTTAATTAATAAATTAAATTAGAAAAAAAAAAAAATTAAAAAATAAGTAAATAATAATTAAAATATATATAAAATAATATTAATAGAAGATAATTAGATTTTATTTACATTATATAAATATAAAAAAATTGATATTCTTTTTAAAAAAACTTATCTATTTAAATATATATAAATAATTATTTTAAATATAAATATATATATATAATATATTATTAAAAATCTATTCTTTGTTTTTTTTATTTTTACAAAATAAAAAAATACATTAAAATTTTTATTTTTAACTATTAAATATAGACATAAAAGATATAAATTAAAATAATAATACAATATATTTTAAATAAATTTATATTTATATATATATATATATTTATTCATATTATATTAAAAAAAATATATATATTAGATTAAGATATTTATAATAATTAATAAACATGTATATATTCTTATTTAATTAAAAATTATATAAATAATTATCTAGTATTAAATTTTGTTATTGAAAAAAAATTTTAAATAATAATTATATAAGTCTTAATATAATTTAATATTATGGATTTTATATATAATTTACTTAAATAAAATATTAAGATTAAAAATTTTACTATTTCTTATTTTTCAAGTCAAATATTAAATAAACTATATATTAAAATCTATTTTTAAACATTTTTTCATATGTCATTTTTATTTAAAAAATATAATCAATTATAAAAATATTATAGGTTGATAAAATTCTTATTTTATGATTGATAAAGCTTTTTAATATAAAAAAGAAAACAAAGAAAATATAAAAAATAATTTAACTCATTAAGTATTATTTCATTTATTAAATAAAATAGAAAAAACTCTTAAAAAAATAAAAATTATATCCAAAATAAATAAAAATATACATTTTTTTCAATTTATTTTATATTTTTAACTAAAAATCAGTTTCTTCTTTTATTGTTTATATATAAATTTTATGATAAGTTAATCATATTAAGTTTTTCTTTACTATATTTTAATCAAAAAAGGTATTTATTAAACAGTATCTTCACATTATGAATTCGCTTGAATAATTAAAAAGCTTCCTGGACATTATCTGAGACAAGAGTTTAATTCGTATAAATAAACATTATACATAAGATTATTAATTTTTTAAATAAGGTAAAATTTGAAGAAAAATAAATTTTCAAATAAAGTTTTTAAAAAAGTTTATTAATTTTTTTCTAAAAAAATATAGAAAGAAATTTCATAAAAAAAAGTGTTTTTCATATTCTTAAAAGACACGAAGAAGCTATGATAAATTCATTTTATTCAAATATTTTTTTTTTAATAAACGAAAAAACTAATTTATACAAACATGAAAATAATTTGATATTGCTTTTTAGTACCATTAACAAAAATTGCATTGATTAAAAACTTAATTTGAATATACGATGCATTATTTACACGAAAGGTCATATAATTGAGAAATGTCAGATATCTCACAAAAGAAAGTCCCAGCCAACTCAAAAAATATTTAAACTATTATAATAAATGTTTATTAATTAATATTAAAAAATGAACAATAATTATTAGAAAATATTACAATGATTATTTAATTAAATAAAATAGAAGTATAAATATTAAAAATTAAAAAAATATTAATACTATCAAAAATATATATATTTTATTTAATATGAAATAAAAAAAAAATGAGCTAAATGTCAATTATCGATAATATTTAAATAGTCTAAGACACACTTCTCGAGCTATCCAATAAACTAAGCGAAAAATAATATATATTTAAAAAGATCAGATAATTAACATTTTCGTTCATTTAAAATACTTTGCATATTTCATGAAAATGAGTTAAGATATAAAAATAAAAGGAAAAAAAATATATTAAATTTAAAATAATATATATATATATATAAATAATATATATATATATATATATAATTATTATAATTTAATATATTTTTTTTTTAATATAATAATGAAAATTATAATCTCATTTTTTATGAATTTGCACTTTATTAATTTAGTCGATTTCATTTATACATCATAATTCTTTTATAATTTTTATTTAATATTTTTTCATAAATTTATTTTTTAAAAGGTTGATTCAATTTTTTTTTTTTAAATATCACCATTTTTTTAAAAAATATTATTTTTTTATATTTAATATTTTCAGTATTTTTTTTTTCTTTATTAAATTTATTTAAATATTAAATAAATATTAGTTACTATATATATTGTTTAATATTTTTTTTATATATATATTTTAAATATATAAGTTTTTATTCAAAATCTAACTAAATATATTTATATTTAAATAATATAAAGATTTTTAATATGTTTGAATTTTTTATGGTATTAATCTTATTTTTTATTATTTTACATTAATAAAAATAAAAAAATTTAATTATATATTTATATTATAAACTTTATTATTATTGTATAACTTTTATTTCTATTAATTTTTCAATATTAAATTATATATGAATCATATTGTTTTGATGTATATATTTTGGTATTCAGTTTGACTTATTTTTGAAGAAATATTTTTTTTTTGTTTTCTTAATTATCTAATATCATTTTATTTAATTTTTATAGAAATTACAAAAAAAAAAAAATATGTCAATATGTCATTTTTAGAATTTGTATGAAAAAATATAAATTTTTCTTAAATTAAATCTTTAAAATTTATATATTAAATTATTCTGTTTTTCAAATATAAATTTCTTTTAAAATATATAAATAAATTTATAATTAAATATATTGTTTTTATTAATTATTAAATAATATTTTTTTCATTCATAATTTAACATTATTCATTGATTAAAATTTATAATTGTTTAGTTTTATTTTATATTATTAATTTATTTAAAATATGTTAAAGTTATAAATTTTATATTAAATTATTTTCTTATAAATTTGTAAAAATTATGTTTTATTTTATTTATATAATCGCTATATAATAACAATAGTGAAACAATTATTATATGTTACATTTCAATAATGTAAATTAAATTAGTTTCTCACTTTATTTAAACTTTTTTTACAGAATAATCAATTGTATTAAATAACTATATAAATTTCTAAATAAAATATTAAAACAAATATACTCTATAATATAATTTGAAAAAATATTAAATGTTTTTAAAATAAATTTTAATATATTAAAAATATAATTAAATTTTTTATAATAAATTAAAAAATAAATTAAAGAAAATAAAATAAAATAAATATTTATATATTTTTTAAGTTATAATAAATTAATAATAATAATTTAATATTATTAAAATAAGATTTAAAACATTATAAAAATTTAAAATATAAATATTAAAAAATTTATTTTTAATTATTATTATTATTTTTAATTATTATTATTATTTTTAATTATTATTATTATTATTATTATTATTATTATTATTATTTTTATTATTATTAATATTTTTATTTTTATTATTTTTATTTTTATTATTACTTTATTAAATATTTTATTTAATTTATAAATTTTATTCTTTTTTTTATATTTTTAAGATTTAATTTAATTATTTAATGATATAACATTTTATAAATTTATTTATAAAATTACTTCTATAATATTATATAAAATAAAATAATATTTTTTTTTTTCATTTTATTTCTTATATTTTTAATTTTTTTATTATGTTGCTTTTAACAAAAGTAAAATCTAAAAATTTTTATAACCTATCATTATATCCTTTTAAACTTCTTACACTTGAACAATAATTTAAAAATGAAATAATATTTTAAATTAAAAAAAGATCTATAATAAAAACTATTAAATAGTAAATAGTCCATTTCTAATCTTCTCCATCATTAATAATACTACACTTTTTTAATATAAATAAAATAAAGAATATCAAAAAAATCGTCAATAAAAGCAACTTTGAAATTATATACCTAAGGTACTTTAATATCTTAATATTTTCAATTATTTTTTTCAAAGATTATTTAATTATAATACCCATAAATATTAAAATTACCATTATAAAATATCCTTTCATATAAGAATAAAAGCAAAATAACATAAATAAGCATTATTTAAAATACATAAGTAGAGCCCTAAGTAATGAGTTTTGAGTATCGTCTTCTAATAAATACATTTCCAAAAATTCATTTGCAATAAGGGTATAATATAATTTCTAGTCATACTAATAATAATTATTATTTATATTTATTTTATTAACTTTATTTATGTTATTTTTATTATTTTATATATCATCTAATAAAATAACATTTGTACTGTTTTTTTTATTCGTATTATTTTAGATAATTTATTTACCTAAGATATTTTTAAATCCAGACATATTTTAGGTATTTTAATCAGGGCAAGCTTAACTTTAACTTATATAATTACTTCCTTTTCTTGTATTTGTATCATTTTTATTATTATTTTTTTGTGAATTTACGTCTATTTATTAAAATGATTATATTTATTATTCAACTTTTTGAATATCTGATTTTGACCTTAATCTTTACCTTTAATTTTCTTTATTTACATTTTCTGCCACAATCTTGCCTTTTACGGGTTCTATTTAAGATTTCGTTATTTTAGATTTACATTCTTCTTCTTCTAAATTTTTTAATTTTTTATTTTTAATATAGGATTTGCAATCTAAATAATGGCAAATTATACACGCTATAAATATATATACAGTAACAACAATATATACTTTAAACATCAACTTATTAGTAGCAGCATGTGTTTTAATTACTTTATTCTCACATTTACCATCTTTATTCAAAACAAGTCCGTTTTCACACTCCAAGCATTTAATATTGCCTGTTTCCGTGCATCTTTTGCATGAGGAATGGCAATGATCGCATGTATTAGTCTCTAGATTTTTAAATTTATTTTAAGGACATTCAGTTTTGCACTCATTTTCGTCTAAGTAAGTATTCTATTAGCAATAAATTTCATTACTACAAAATCCATTAAATAAATAGAGTCCCTAAAAGCATTCTGTACATTAATTAAATTGTTTACAATTTAAACAATTAGAATCACATGGTTAACAATTTCCTTAAGAATCGGGAAAAAAAGATTAATCACATTCTAGTTTACATTATTAATTTTAAGTTAAAAAATAATTCTATTTACAAGATACACATTTGCCCTTTTCTATACATGCCTTACAATTTAAGTCACATAATTCGCATTTTTATGTACTTCTTTTCAAATATGATCCTTCTTCACAAGTATCACATGTATTAGAATTCAAGCAATTAAGACACATAAGATCACATTACTAACACTTTTTATTTTAATCCTCAAATTATTTATTGTCGCAATTATCGGCACATTTTTTAGTTTATAAAAGAACTTAATTATTATTACAGGTAATACATTAATTATTTACTATTCCATTTTCACATGTTTGACAATTATCATCACATTTTTCACATAAATTACTCCTTGTGTTTATATAATACCCCGCATTACATGTATTACACGAAATAGCATTTTAACATGTAAGACAAGATGCATTACATTATTAGCATTTTCTTAGTGCATCTGCATATTAATTTTATTAACAAGAAATAACGCATTTTTTGTCTTAAGTGAGAAAATTATTAAGTTAACATTCCGTACATTAATCATTAGTGGGTCCATTTTCGCACGCTACACAGTTCGCGTTACATTGTTCACATCTATTAGTATTAGTATTAGTATTTAAATATTAGCCCTTATTACAGGATGTACAAGTATTAGCATTATTATCGCAAGTTCTACAGTTAGCGGAGCAAGGCGAGCAAAATTAAGTTAAAGGATTTAAATAATTACCATCAGCACATGTAGAACATGAAGTATTATTAATACATGATAAGCATGATGCATTACACGGTTAGCATTTTCTCGCATTATCCGGATATTATTTGGGTAAACAGATATCTTTGCAAGTTTAGTTAGTTTATAAATATTAATTATTATTACAAGTAAGACAAGAAGTCTTTGAATCTTTGCAAGTTTAGCAATTCGGATCACATAATTCACATAAACCACTTTAAGAGTTCGCATATTAGCCTTAATTGCAATTCCTAACGCATTTTTTTTCCAGTTATTGGTAATATAAAGGAGGTGAGCAGGACAGGCATTTAGTATTATCAGTACCGTTTTCACATGTAGTACACTAAGCATCACATGGTTCACATTTCAAAGTATTTGTATTAAAAAAATTGCCATTTACACAAAGTTAACAAGAATTTGCGTCTACACATTTAAGACATAAATTAATGCAATCCCTACATTTAGGTATATCAACTTGAGTATTATCTAAATATTAATTACTATCACAAGCATCTACACATGTTTAGTTTTTTATTTGTAAAACTTTAGGTGAATTACAAGAAGCACATATATCTGGAGTATCATTTTGACAAGTTTTACAATTAATATTACAAGGTTTACATTCGTTCAAATTATTTTTATAATAACCTTAATCACATATAATGCAAGTAGTTTT